GTAGCATAAGATAATTAGTGTGCGGACCATTTTTCATTTATATAGTGCTCTGTGAACACAAATTAGTTAGCATAAAATCTGTTAAAATGACGAAAAATTAGGCGTCTATTTACTTGTGACCACACAGTGTATATACACTATACAGACTCTTCATCAAGTTCATGTCCAACAATTAACAACACGGAGAACATGCACGTTATTATAAATACAATTAAAGTTAGGCTTAATAACAACATAATTTGAATAAACACTTTAGGCTTAAGATAAAACTACAGCTCACCAGTATTTATTGTAATGTCCTTCCACTTTGCTGTATTTCCATCATGTGGAGTAACCTCTACGAAACATACTTCACTCATATTAGTTTATTCTTTTTTAAATCAAATCATAACACAATTTTATACCACAAACAAAATTTTCCAAAACAGTCGACCAAATTTACCGCATTTCAGAAACAACAATTGTACGCCGATATTGCCCTCTTCTGGCAGTAAATAAAATTCACTAAAGAACCAATATAAATCGTACAATTGTGAGTTCAAATTTTATGTATGAATAGGTTTTGAACATTATAATTTTGTTTGCTGTTAAGCGCAAAACTACACAATGGGCTGTCTATGCCGTGCCCACCACGAGTATCGAAACTCGAATTTTGACGTTATAAGCCTTTAGGCTTACCGTTGAGTCATCGAAGAGGAGAACATGTGAAATATTTAATAAACCGCTTTCGTGTGTTCCAAACTCGATGGCTTGACCGTGACTTAGTGATTAGCATATCAGACTGAGGATCCAAGGGTCTTGGAGGCATGTGCTACCAAAGATGATTCATAACTTGAGTTGTAGGCGCATTAAAAGAGCCACACCATAACGAACTCTCTCTAAAGTTGAGACACACTTTCGATGGAGTGAGAAATGTGAGCAAGTATTTCAGTCACTGAAGAATGATTAAAATAGGAGCCTCACTATTGGCATATCCCCGACAGGGCTGTGGCTTCTCGTCCATGATAGTGGAATTGGAACAGTGTTATCACAGTTGGATAATAGTGTAGGACCTGTAATCGCGTATGCTAGTTGCACGGCTCCAAATGCAGATACTGTACGACAAAACAAAACAAAAACAACATAAAGTTGTAGCTTCCGTAAACGCTATTGACACTACTTGTATCGTAAAAAGTTCACTATTTGAGTGGACCAGACATCATTGATAGGTTTGATGAACTTTAAAAAATTGGAAGGAATGACAGCATATTGGGTAACAGTATTGCAAGTGTATGATTTGGTCATAAGGCATCGTCTAGCCGTGCAACATAGAAGTGTTGATGGATTATCTCGCCACATGGTGATGACCATACCCTGTACACCGTGTGGGAGTTGAAACCATTTCTGCAATAATGGCAAGAAGATATATAATAAGATATTTCATTAGTGGATGGACGTCAAAACCAACATTTCGGGAGCTCGGGAAAGAGCACCTGAAGGACCCGGATCTAGCTTGGGCATTTTTTTGTGATTTTAAAAGAAGATACGCTCGGACACCTAAAAGTGAGGAATGTAGCACAGATGCGTGTAACTTGAAACATTTATTCAACGATCCCAGTTCCTCCAATACTTGAAACTTACCTATGTAACGGACTCTAATCCCCAAAACGCTTAAAATTGCAAGGAATCGTGTCGAAACCTTTCCTATTGTGTTTCAAATGAACAATATTTTTTCAGTTTTGCGCCCCGCCTTTAAAGATAATTAATATCTGTTTATTTTGTATTAGATACTATAATGATTTAAAAAAAATAAAGTACATACCTTTTGTAATTTTAGGTCAAATATCCATATTCACTTTTTAAACGTGCCTAATACACAATAAACTTAGAATAATATTTCTGATTGAAATAGAAATTATATATAACTTAATATAAAACTAATTCATTATATCGTTTGCAATAACAATATTAATTAATTAAAGATGGCGCTTTACTCAACCTCTCTCTCTCTACATATACTTTTCATTTCAATTTGATTGAGATCGGTAAATACCATGGTAAGCGAAAGATGAAAAGAACAATGATAGTGTAACTTTGTAAGACCAAAGGCTAAATCAAAATAATTAAGTAAAGTTATAATTTATAACATTAAAATATGAGAAAATGTACTGTAATCTACTTACAACTATCAATAACTTATGGTATAAAATTTAATGTTCTACTCCTACTAGTTCTAGCATAAGATTAAGAATAAAAAATTTGAAGTTAAATTTAAAATTGAAAGAAAACGGCCTTTGAGATTGATTTTGAATTTCTTAAAGATTCTGTATTTATTTGGTGTAGTTATTATTAACAATATAAAATTTTTTTCAGCCATTTTCTGAAGGGTGAAGGTATCTGAAGTTTAGGTAAGTAACTCAAAGTCACACCCTCTGTAACTTGTAACAGTAAATTGTAATTTTATAGAAACTAACGTGAATTAACCCATTCTTTAGTTAAAATTAAAATTTAGTACTTCTATGTTCGAACTAGTAGTAGTAGTCTAAGCTAGTACTATGCTCTTGGAATCAGATGATAGACAATAATTAATAATAATAACATCTTAGTAATTTAGTGTGTATCTTACAAACTCAAGTTAGAAATTGCACAGTATTTATTTAGAATTATGTTGTATCAGAAAGGAAAGTAAAGCTTAACTTTCTAAATGTTGAATATATCAAGGGACTTCAGTAGTATACCTTATGCTTTTGAGATTTACTTCAAGTTCTAATGTTTTGTGAAACTCGTATTTGGAAGAACACATAAAGTAAACAATGAGGGATAATGGTAAAATTATAAAAACTTATTTTCAGGTAGAATAACATGATGTCATCAGTGACATATGTAGAAGTGAGTTATTGCTTTGATATTTCTTACTCCCATCTCCATCCAACAGAACAGCTAATTATCAAACTGGTTATTTAACATGGTTACAATGTTTACTAATTAATTAGAATTTCAGGAAATCATTGTTTAAGTTGAAGTATGGGAGTGACACTCCCACTGCATATGAATGGAAGGGTTGGTGCTCCCTTGCAACCCAGCTGAACTACACCACTGTAGGGGCTATGAAACAAAACATATACTTTAAGTCTTTACACTTAAGTTGTGCCTAGTCAGGGATGGTTTTCTTCATTAAGTATGCAGTAAGCTTTCCTGTGAATTACTCAAATGCTATTTAGTTTTGGTAGAAGAAAATATACAAAACCATTAATTATTAAATTAATTAAATTAAAAGTCATTATTTGTTTGTACTGTTGAGAAAAATACCTCCATCTTTGTATGAAGTGTGTGCAAAGTTAAACCCCTTATTAACTCATAAAAAAAAAAACTTATCAAAAGCAACAAACAAGTTCAATATAGTTTTTCTATTCAATACTTTGTGACTAATAACAATTATTGTGTGAATAAAACTGTTTATGAATATACATATAAAGTAAAATGTTAGCACTGAAGATAAAATGTAAAATTACTTTGCAAGAAAGACATTAATAATATATGTGAAAAAGTAAAGTATGTTAGAACCGTTTTTGCCAGGATTGTTGTTGTTGTTAGGTTCATGTATAATAATAAAAAATAAACTAAAATAGTCTGAAATAAATATTTAAATTGAAATTGAAATTTGTGACATCAAACACATTCACACGTACATGTCTATTACAAGACCATTTAGTGCTTGGATTTTGAAAATTATTTCTTTTTTTTTCATAAGAATACACTAAAAGTGAATATGGGATTTAGAGTGCAGATTATAGAAAGCCTGGCATGGATTAGATAAAATGTTTAAATGTAGATGTTACAGCAAAGGCAAAAGATAATGTTTAATTGAGCTTCATACACTTAATCTGAAAATTGGATTCACGTTTCTTGTGTATTATAAACAAGATATAGGTGCAGATGCTGACTTATTCTTTAAAGAAAGTGCTAAAATAATTATTTATAAATAAATAAGTGATAAGCAATAAAGCAAATATCAGATTATTTGAAATTGGAAAATATTTTGAAAATTCATTTCTGTAACACTGCAAATACACTAACAATGAACTACTATATAACAGATAATAATAGCATGTAAGAAAATGTTGTAACATATTTCTTTAGGCCTTAAATTTCTTTTTGTATCAGGAAAGTGTAAATAATTGTTTTTTGTTTATTTCTGTCATCAGTTCAATGAGAATTACAGCCCCAGTCTTGTAACATTAAACATTAGTTTTGTGGTTCACAAAAGAAGTTAATATATGAGCCAAAAGGGATAGCTTTTCAAACCAAAAAGAAATAGAAAAATTCACACTATTACATTCAACTAAGGGAAGTATTTTTAAGCATTTGTAACACTTAAATACACATAATGATATATATATCTATATATGTAAAAATATGTTCCCAGTAAATCTATTCAAGTGAGCAAGAACAACCGTTAAATAATTGAGTTCTTATGAAAAAAAGAAAATTAAACTTAAATGCTTCAGAATATAAACCTTTATTTTTCAAGGGTGGTCCACCTTCCAAAAATAATGAATTTCAGGGATTTTCTTTTCATTATGTTATTTTTTTGTGCTTATTTGTTAAAAAAATAATGAACTTACTTTTAGCATAAGTGCTTAGTAGTTTAAAAAACTGTAGGAATATTCCCCAGTTATGATACGTTATGTAAAAATGACACTTTACAGCAGTTGGAAATAAATGCATTTATTTTCTTACTCTAGGCTCTTAAGTAAAACTAATTTAACTACCATCGCAGCAACAACGTAGTGTTATGTTGCTTGTATAGATAAAACACAACGATTTGTAAGCATAATGAAACATTTTTAATACATAGCACCTGAATAAGACAGACCAATGCTCTGTCGAAACATGTAATATGTATTAAAAAGGTTTCATTATGCATACAAATCGTTGTCTGATATATACAAGTCTCCTAGTGTAATGTGCTTCCCTACACAAATAGTGTTGTGTTGCATTTATTTCAATTACAAACTTCCCACTAGATGGTGCTAAAATAGATAAAAAGACTGCGAATATTCAGGAATATAATTTCCCAGTACTGAATATAATCTTCTTTGAACTGGAGTAAATATAATTAAAAAAAACAACTTGTGAAAATTATAACTAAGTATGAGGTGGAAGGCCCTATATTAAAAAGTCGAAATTGCCTAAATTAAAGCATTTAAAAAAATAAACCATTTCTCTACTCGTCACTGTTTAAACAGTTGGATATAGCGACTTGAGGATTCCCATAGTGACGAAAGTTTGTCAAAGTAACTAGAGGCTTTCATTGCCGACAACAGTAATATTCAGAAAAAAGTAGTTCATCAGTTTGGATAGTTACACAAGCAGCTAAACAGTGTAAATACATTTTCAGCGTTTAGCGAATTATTTGATATAGAAGTTGTTTAATATATTGTATTTGAGGAATTTCTCCTTAATTTAACTAAAATGTCCCATTCT